GCGCCTGCAAACTTTTATCAACAGCTACCACCTTCGCTGGCTGGCTGGCTCCAAAGTGAAGATCAAATGGCCAGCTGGCCGGCTAGAAGGAATAAGCAGCAAGAAACCCTGATAAGCGACAACCCAACCAATAGCTGACCGCTCGAGGAATATGTAGGAGAAAGTGGAGATGGATCGGGCACACGCTGAGGAGGCTACTGACCGAAATCGCACGCAATGCAGGTCATCGCTCAGGTGGAGCCACAATGGCAACCAACGACTAGGTTGCCCTAGGGTAGCATGGAGGAGATCGTGTAAGTTGTAGGAGGAGATGAGACATTAGGGCAATCGTGGACCTAGCTGAAGAGGACAGGAGGAAATAGAGGGAAGTGGATATGTTTTTAGATGCCCTGTGTTCCATTCGGAACCCAAGGGAACAATAATCATAATAAATATAACAGCACGATTTATTGTTCGACTGGTATTGATTTTGTTCAAATGTTTAATCAATTTTCACTCACGTTTATAAATGAAGCAAAAACGTTGCGTGAGTACTTTGATATGATTATGAGCAGTAATAAATTGTGTTCGAAATGTTGTCATCAGTAAATATTACTGTATAACAACAATGTGTGATTTTATCAAAATAACATTTTATCCATAATGGAATTCAGGCTGTGTTGTAGGGTGACATGGGGTAGATGGTATGAAGAGAAGATGAGAGCCTATAAGCGGTCATGGAACCAGCTAAGTAGGACTTCAGGGAAGAGGATGAAACGAAGATGTTCTGTTGAAGGGTTTTGTTCCACTCAGAACCCAGGGGAATAATATATATATGTAGAGGTATATATTCTGTTTTCGTAACTAACCAGACAAAACACCATGATGGTAACCAACCATTGGTAAAAACAACTCTTCTAAAGCAAAAACAACCTTAATTGTTTCATCAGTTGTACACATAGACATTCACTGAAACTTAGCCGTTTTATGATTTTTTGACTGACAACTGCGCTGAAAGGAAGTACATTTTATGTACTTCTTAATAAAAAACACCACATTTGCTAATAAGATGTATTTTTCTTATTTCTTGAGTCAGTTTTATGACGAAAATAACAACAGTGACAGGCTTTAAGTGCTTACATTTCATTTTTGCTTAATATTTCAAACTAAACAATAAACATTGAAATTAAGTTTATTTTTGGGCAGCCATATTCTGAGGCATAAATAACACATTCGTTCAACCCATCAGTTGGTTAAGAAAAAATATGTTTAGTGGTTGATAGTGGCTAATAGCATTGTGTAAATAGTTTGTTCACTTAGTGACAAACCAAATTTGATTGGACACTAGTAACCAGTGTGATGTGTCTAGTCCTTTCTTTGGTGCAGATTGAATTCAATCAGTCAGGTTTACAATGTGCCCACCATTCTAGGTAGCTTGCCATCACGCTGCATATTGATTTGATGATATTAGATGATTGAAGGCAATCAGAAAGAAGCCTTGGACCTAGATTTCGTCCTAGTTGGCACTCAACAGTTGGCAAAGCGCATCTGCAACCTCTGAGGAACTCATGTCCCTTCCGAGATTCGAACCCACGTAACCCAGTGCTACAGTCAGAGGCGTCATCACTGAACTGTGTGACGCGGGTTCGAATCCCAGACGGCACTTTGGTTCCTTAGAGGTTGCAGATACGCCTTGCCAACTGGTGAGTGCCAGCTAGCACGAAACCTTGGTTCAAGGCCTCCTGTGGCCGATTGCCTCCAACCATCTAATATCATAGTGACACACGTATTCACTATTAGTCAATAAATCCAATTAAAGCGTTTTCAGAAATAATCCTAGCTAGATTCCAGGAATTTATTGGACGCAATTGAAAAATACTGTCCATTTAGGCGCACAAATCACTTTCATCTGTCGAAAGCAGAGACACTTTTGAGTCAATTTTAAGTCTTTTATAGTAAGACGTATGACGATCCCTTTGTGTTAGAGGATCCCTCCTCAACGATCTAATCACAATATTTACACTCTGCATGGATGTTTTAGCCAACTTTGTAACTATGATCCCCTTTTTCTCATAGACTGCATATCATTGTTCTGATGTTTGAATATCATTATTATTATTGTTTCCTTTAATTCCTAGAGGAACATAGGGCTTCAGCCGCACGTCTCCATTGCTTTTGGTTCTCTGCCAACGTTTTCGCCTGACTCAAAGTCTGTCCACGTGCTTTCATCTCCTCTTTACATGACCTCCTCCGTGTCATACTCGCACTGAAGATCAACTCACTGCTTCCTACTTGGGTTCCACACAAGTGATGGCCTGTCATGGGATGTCATTTGATGGTTTTCTCAGAGTATGGCCAGTTCAACTCCATTTCTTCCTACATGTTTGTTGCACAATGGGTTGACTTAATCCTAATTATTTGTCTTGGTTCCTGTTTAATCTCCAACTACAATGCATCGCTTCGTGGCTTTCCGTACATTGGCAGTGTGTCGTTTTGCGACTATAATTTTGCTGAAATGAATAAGAGTCATTTTGACTTTGAACTACGTGCAGGAATTATTTGGTGCATGGTTTTTACTGATAGAATTTTGATCTCATCTAGTATGGAATATTCTACTTGACTGTAAGATACTTCTTACATTTGGATTTCGGCTAACTAGTTCTGTTCTACAGAACGTGTACTCGAGGAACTACAGCATCTATATAGGTGATTGACAGTATTAGTTAGGTAATTTTGAGTTTTCGATGTGTTACTGTTTTTAAATACTACCTGAAATTTTGTTACAAATAACTGCCTTTTTTCTTTCCTTGAGACAGTTTGTGACTGTGAATAACCCAAGGAATTTTCGGTCTATTTATGCTGTAGATATTGCAAAAGATCTTGAGGAAAGGTTACCTAGTGAAACTACCAAAGAAGGGCGACCTAGGACTCTGCAAGAACTCTCGAGGAATCATGCTTCTGTCGACGCCAAGTAAAATCCTGAGTCGCATCATCCTGAAGAGAATAAAGGACGCTCTGGATACAGAACTCCGACCAGAACAAGCTGGATTCAGGAAAGGCAAATCATTTTCTGACCAAATTGCAACTCTACGCATTATCATCGAACAAAGCATGGAATGGCAATCAAATCTCTACCTCAACTTCATAGACTTTGAGAAGGCCTTCGACAGCGTTGACCGCGAAGTAATATGGGAACTACTTGAGTACTACGGCGTACCCCAAATATTTATCAACCTTATTCAACAGCTGTACGACAATGGCACATGTCAATTGATCCACAACGGAAAACTCAGCGAGGCGTTTGGAGTAAACACAGGAGTCAGACAAGGGTGCTTATTATCACCAATGACATTCCTAATTGTGGTGGACTGGACTATGCGTCAGACAGTGGGAAACCAGAAGACAGGGATATCCTGGACCGACGTGAAGAACCTAGAAGACCTGGATTTCGCGCGTGGATGATTTATGTTTGATGTCACACAAAATCGAAGACTTACAAGCGAAAACCGACAAACTGGTCAAAGAAGCAGCAAAAACAGGACTCCAAGTGAACATAGACAAGACGGAGGTCATGAAAATAACCAACCAACAACAAAAACAGCAACATCCACCACCAATCACCATCAACGGGAGGGATTTGAAAGAGGTTACTTCTTTCACTTATCTAGGGAGCATTGTCTCAACTACAGGAGGAACGGACGAGGATGTCAAATCGAGAATCGGGAAGGCGAGAAACACATTCATCAACCTGAAACCAATCTGGAAATCTTCGTCACTCAGCATCAACTACAAAATTTGGATTTTCAATACAAACGTCAAGTCAGTTTTGTTGTACGGATCAGAAACTTGGCGAGTCACCAAGAATATTTTCCACAGGTTGCAGACCTTTATCAACAACTGTCTTCGTTCTATACTGAAAATTAGATGGCCAGAAACAATCACAAACAAGAAGCTATGGGAACAAACAAAACGAGAACCAATCGCCCAACAAATATGCAGGAGAAAGTGGAGATGGATTTGACACTCGCTGATGAGGCCACTGGGTGACATCGCGCGTCAGGGCATAGCTCGAGGGGAACCCGAAAGGGAAACGGCGAGTGGGACGTGCAAGGGTGACATGGAGGAGATCGTGTGAAGAGGAACTGAAACAGTATGGATTAACACGGATGCGAGTGTAAAGCACAGCACAAGACAGAAGCAAGTGGAGGTGTGCAGTTGAAGCCCTACGTTCCACTAGGAACCCAAGGGAACAATAATAATAATTATGCTGTTGAATGTGAAGATCGGTCTCCCGCGTTCAGAACGAAAGTGTCAGTTTTTGAAATCATAACCAGTATACCAAAAACGTTATTGCTAATTATGCTTTTTGAATCCCAACTGAATTTAAACGTTGTGGAGTAATCACTTCTTCAGAGATGTAAACTGTGTTGTGCTATGCACTTAACCAATAGGTACACGTTTTAAAACAGACACACATGATCCCTACACACCACATCTTGAAGGGTATTTAGGAGTCAAATAGTCTATTAAAAGGGGATTGGTTATGCCAGTGTAACCGTGAATTGCCACATTGCAAAATAGCTTATAAATTACAAGAATGTTCCCTATAAAGTACACCTGAACTGAGATTATTCACAAAATGAATATTATATATACACATACAGTGGAGGACGTTAGTACTTTAGCTGTAGAAAGCTCTCAGACCATGCCTCAAGTAATCCAGAGTTTGAAACCCAGCCGACTTACTCCTCCGAAAATCTCGCTTGGACGGTATCCAGTGCGGTTGAGACAGAAGGTTTGGAGTGAGGCTAACAACCCTACTCTGTAAAAACAACACCTCTTCTACTGGAACTTCAAAACTTGAAGTCCTATGTTCCACTAGGAATGCAAAAGAATAAAATAAATAATAATAACAATACCATGATGAAATCACTTCTGACTTCTAAATACATAAATTCCTTTAAAACTGTTGAAATTCTCTAAATAATAACAACATTTCAGAAATTAATCTTGAAACTTACATCAAAATATAACCAAAATATGAATGTCAAGTGAGCAAGTACATATAGTACACAGAATGAGACGAATACATCTCTTTCAATTCGCATCATTAATCTTCGTTTTTGCTGTTCATGATTTTTTGACTGTAGGGCTAATGCAATCCATGTTTGTTGACTCAATTGTTGAGATAATCTGGCCGATTTCCCGGCATCATTAGATCCTTCATTCTCCAGAGAAACTGCTAAATTGCTACTTGAGGCTGGTTTCTTCTAGAAGGTTTAAAATGAGAAAATACTTTGTTCAGTAGCATTAGATAACAACAAAAAGAATGAATTTGATTTATAGAACAAGATAAAAGCAAGGATAATTGGATGTCTGATTTTGATTGCTACTCAATATTGTACATTAGCTGTCGTCTTAAATTTCTTAACCGTAGTTACTCGACTCAGATTTGCAACTTTCTTATTTTCTTAGAATTTTCGGTCCTTATCGTTCCGAGTGAAATATAGTGTAACTGTAGAAGGCAAGACACGGAAGCAAAGGTATATTTTCCGTTGAACAAACCGCTATATATATATATATAGTTTATATTCTTTAACCAGTCACTGAGCGTATGATTTCGGCTTACATTAAACGACAGGAAATAGGATGTTCAAATGCTTAAATAATATTCTTTTGCTAATGCAGTATTGAACTGTGGAAATATGCAAGAATAATATTCAACCGGAACATATTGTTTGTATCACATCACCACGATAGGACTTTGAAGTTTCGGTGGCAGTGGTTTCAAATGTACGGGGTGGGATTACTAGCCTCACTCACCCGACCTTCCCTCTTTGCTGGTTTTACTACGGTTTAGTGAGGTTTAGAAGTGAATCGACCGAGAATCAAATCCTGAACCACCGACCCAACGTTCAAATATGGCATAATGTTTCTTTAGAACAGCATAAGCAGGACATTCACTCGTCATACCAGTTAGCACCAGCTTGATTTTACAGAATGACTAATGACAATTGGGTAAAACTACATAATCCTCCTGTAACTCTGAAAATTACCACATGTTGTACGCCTACCATTACACTGAAGAATATATATCGTCCATGGCTCATTTGATTTTAGTCAGTTTTCTGATGACTAATTAAGTGAACGAAATATTCCTATATTGAGTTATAAGAAAAAGTCACAAACAGCGAAGAAAATTTTCTTTTCGACGATTCATTTTCATGAGATGTACAATCGTAATTATAATTAACAAAGAAATCTTTAGACCAATCAGATACTGGTAAATTTTGTCCTTGGAAAATTGTATTACATAATGTATGGTGTGAGAAGGGATGACTAATTGTAAGTTAGAAAAGAGGCAAAAGTTGGCATGACGTAATAAGTGTGAGATAATGAATAAACAACAAGCTCGTGTAAAATGGACAGGAACTAGTGGAAAGGCTATGTATGAAATGTTATGTTATTAACAAACAGTAATAGAGTGGTAACAAAATGCGGATAATGGGAATAATAATGATAATAAAATAATAGTATTATTAATAATAATAGTGAACTCAAATAATAAAAGAAAGAAGCGAAATTGCAGTAAGAACATTACTCTGGCCATGGTAAGGCAAGAGAATGTATGTATCGCTTTTGGATGCAAAAGTCCGGTTTCAAATCTCGAATAGCTAATGCTCCAGCTATGTACAGATGGCGTATCCAAAGTCCCTTTGTACGATATTGAGGGACTCTGTGTAACACTGTGAAGCATTCATGTAGGGGTGCTCGATGTCCAGAGATGACAAGGTATTCGAGGATCAAGCTGTTGCTATTCTTCTTTTCTCCTCTGGAAAACCAAGTTGAGCAGTGTTCCAGAATACGTTTGTGGACTTGATGTTGCGTACGGCCAATATACTTTGCTCCACACGAGCAAGTAAATTGATATATACACATTGAGGTGGCCAAAAGCAGGATCTTGTCCTTAGCGTTATACAGGATTAACTGTCTGCAGGAGAATGCGATAAGTAGAGTGGCTGTTGGAAATGTTTTCTTCAGACATTTAGAAAGGCGATTTCTGAGAATTTCCGCTGCGACATCACCTTTGAATTCTAGGTTCATGAAGACAGTCTTCTTAGGAACCGTTGCGATGTTTGACACCGGAGGCTTCTCCTTCATGTTTTTGTCAATAAATCTTGGTGGATAACCATTCACTAGTAGGGTTTTACGTAATAAATTTAATTCTTTCTTCAAGATGTCTTCCGAGCAGATTTTTCTTCGCTGTTTGTGCCTTTTTCTTATGACTAATTTATTCCCAAGATTAGTATACTATGACGCTTCCCTACAGAAGCCACTCAATGCAATTTACCTTAGGTGTGTGTGGATCTCTGATACTACCATAACGCAAACAAATATCGGTTATAAGAAAATATTTTCAGATGAATAATTTTTGAGTTCAGCTTTTAAGCTCAAGTGAAAGTCTACTCATAACACACTTATCTCAAAAACTGATACATATCAACTTCTAGTGATGTTTATCAGGCCAATAAATTTCCAAGCTATTTAAGATCGAAATTACTCACAAAATAAATATTAAACCCTCTACTCTTGTATATTATATATGTACTATAAAGGATTTCTGTGGTGCAGCAGTAAAATTCCCACCGACCACGCCTCACGCGATGAGAGGTTTGATTCCCTGCCGACATACTCCTAAAGCTAGCTAAGCCGGTAGTAGAGATGGTGATGGGTAAGGGTTAGGCGTGAGGCTAGTAACCCCACTAAGTAAAATAAAGCCACTTCTACCGAAGCCCTATGTTTCTCTCATAAAATAAAGGATTACAATAATGATAACCTTGGATTAGTACCGTAAAATTATGAACAACACCCAGGGCTTTCTTAAAATGTATTTTTACTCTTTAAAACATTCTATTTCAGTCAATCAAAATTTCGTAATTTCATAGACCAGTTTTAATTGTTTGATATGAACTTTACGTTTTACCTGGCTTCTGATTGTGTATTGGTAGCACCACTATAAATTAGTAATGAGGTTAGTAGTCTAAGCCAGCCTGAAATTTGCTAATACTAATTTATTGACTGAAAAAGAAGAGAGAAAGCTACTCAATATGGAGTGATTCTTCAACACAGCTGGAGACAAGGTTTATATATATATATATATATATTAAGAACGCAATATTCATCGAAGAGACTCTTTCCAACGAATTTATTATAAAACTGCTGGCTGGTTTGATTGTGGTGAAGCTTAGAAACTCTAAACTTAGTCGAATAATCGGTTGCTTTGAAATTTATAGAAGATACCTAGATGATAATTTCGTTATCAACGATGAGAACGTAATACTTGATGAAACCCTGTTTGCATTCAACAACTACCACTCTTCTTTGCAATTTACCATAGAAAAGGAATCTGAACTAAGCACTCCTTCTCTTAATGTGTGCCTCAGTAGACGTAATAATAGATCCTTCAAAAATCCATCCATTTGAAACGTTCATGAAATGGACAACTAACTCATTTTTGTAGCTGACTGCCTATCTCCAGGAAAAGGGACTTAAATGACTCGCTGCGCCTTAGGATAAGAACCATTTGTAACTTTCTCTTCTAAAAGACACGCTCTCTGGAAAGGATTACCCGAACCGACTTATTGAGAAAAACTGATCATTGATTCAGTTCTGAGGAAAGCTATCATAATGAATTTCGAATTCAAAGGTATATGGGATATAGACACGCTGAAAAATCGGCTCTCTAGGTCAATCAATAAGACGTTCTTTGCTACATAAATTACAAATGATCTTCACCACCAGTAAGTCATTACTGATCTCTGCAAAACACACGTGTGATTCATTCGTGCAATACATTTCGTACAATACATCTGATCACACATTTACTTGTCAAGTTAATTTATACGAAGAATAATAAGAATAATTAACACTACGTTTGGTTATATAATAGGTTCGATGGAACCTGTTATGCAAGCCGGCTTATAATTATTGAAAAAGCCAAAAACATGCTCCACTACAAACCTCAAAAGTACACATTCCATACCATATACCAATATGCGTGTGTGTAGACACATGTATATATCAAGGAGTAATTGTGCTTTGCATGTAAAGTCTGGAGAGCATATCGCTAAATGGTTAGAAAAGCGGGTGGAAGACTCCCAACTTTGTCTGCAGCATAAAAATCCTAGACGATATGAACTATAAGATTAATGTCAAAACAGACTTAACGGTTATTTATAAAAACAGTGAAGGACACTTGCTGAAATACATTGAGGAGATAGCTGTTCGTAAATTTAGCCCACTCTTTTATGTAAAAGAACAGTTTATTGTTACTCTTAACCTATTTTGGTAATTCTTATCTGATTACATGACCAAACTTAGTGTTAGTTATTCTTATCCCCCTTATTCCTGAGTAGCTTTTGTCACTTTGCGTATTTCAATCGGCCTTTATGTTTCATATAAACTGACTTGACAAGTAAATGTGCGAACAGATTGTTCAAAATTTTTTTCAGCAAATACACGAATTGGTAGAAGTTAGAATTCATGGGATGGCCATTGAGTCAGTTCACAGTGACTGGATGGTATACGAGCTCGCCTAGTAACTGGAAGGTTCTGTGTTCGAAGCCCAGCAAGTGAATGCTGCCGATAAGTCTCAAACCAGGATGAAACTGCTGTCCAGTACTCCCTGGTTTTCAATGGTTCTCTAACTGATATCAATCCATAGTCTAACTCGAAAAACAAGTCAATTCTTGAAAGATACATAGCAATTTTTAGGTAGTCTCTATCCTCTTATAACACCATCTAAACATGTAGAATAGTTCATAAGATGTATATTTTACGAAATGTTCTATATGTGGCATTATTTGTTTTACCACTTGATAAATAACCATGGTTATAATCGCAAACATTTTAATTGCATCTCATATTATTATCACTTTATATATTCACACCTTCGTCTACATTTAATTATGAGATCTAATTTCTTAAATACCACGTATACCACAACTCCGTGGATCGAAAGGTACTATGTCAATGTTTGACTGTGAAGGGAGTGCCAAGAAAGTACATTGCACTAATCAAGGCACTCTACTCAAACTCACGTAGCCGTGTAAAGCCTTATGGGGAATTGTCATCTGAATTGATAACAACCAGTGGTGTCCGTCAAGGATGTCCACTTTCCTCTTTTCTGTTTAACTTCATCATAGATATGCTAATGGAAGTATCCTTAACTGAACTTAACAACTTAGGAATCGACTTGTTACCAGGGAATAGTCTTATGGACTTAGAATATGCAGATGACATAGTCCTGTTAAAGGAGGATGCTGACAAAATGCAGAGTCTTCTGAACACCTTGAGCAGCAGTCTTCGTATGTTTGGCATGCGATTCGCCCCTGTAAAATGTAAGATGCTGCTACAGGACTGGACTACGTCTACCCCTAGTTTAGTGATAGGGAGTGAAGTGATAGAACATGTTGACCACTTCACCTATTTGGGAAGTTGTATCAGCACCAACGGATTGATTGGTTACGAAATCTCAGCACAGATCCAAAAAGTTCGGGCTGCTTTCGATAACTTACACCATCTCTGGCGTAGGCATGACATCCGGCTATCAACCAAGGGACGTGTGTACTGCTCAGCAGATCGCTCCGTCCTTCTCTATGGCTCTGAAACATGGCTAATACGAGTTGAGGAAATGAAAAGGTTGTCTGTTTTTGATCATCGATGTTTACGATCTCTTTCTCACGTTAGGTGGCATAATAAGGTAAGTGATGTTGATGTTAGGCGTAGAGTGTTGGGCAAACAGGGAAAATCAATCGACGAGGCTATAAAGCTACATAGATTGAGATGGCTAGGTCACGTACTGCGCATGCCTAGCCATCGCCTCCCCAGACAGACGGGCATTACTAGCTGATATAGGTGCAGGTTAGAAAAGAGTAAGTGGTGGCCAAACAAAAACATGGCCTCATCAATCCATGAAATCCCTGACAGTTAAACTGAGTCAGGTAGGGAGATGCAGACTTCCGGGTTGGGGCCCGCCCTCGGGACTCTAAGAATCAATGGCTGGAGACAATAGGTGACATGGCTCAAAATCGTTGTCAATGGCGCAGATGTATTCAGTCTCTGTAATCTTTGATATTCCTTTCTACCATTACTCATTCTGTTTCACTCTTATACTTGTCAAAACTCTATTGATTCCCTTCATCATTCATTTTCTTGTCTACCTTTGTGTGCTATTTGGAACGTGGCAACTCGAACTGCTGCACTTCGGTGCCAAGTTTTATGTTGAATCCAGACAGAGAGACGTACATACGATTGTACAGCTTGATGGTCAATTCGTTGAAAAGAATCCCGAATATTGTGTTCTTGATATTATGATGTTGCGTCGGTGGCACAGCGGTAGAAAGCTCACCAGCCACGCCTCATGTGGTTCGCGGTTCGATCCCTGGCCACAGACGCACTTCTTTACCTCGCTAAGCCAGTAATAAGGCTGGCAAAGAGGGAAGGTTGGACACGAGGCCAACAACCCTTTAACCATAAACATAAACACCACTGCTACAGAAACTTCAAGCCTCTATCTTGAAGCCCTATGTCCCATTCGGAATTTAAAGGAATAAAAAATGTTTCAATAGTAAGATATATATTGCTATGAAACACTTTTTTCAAATTTCTATTCTCCAAGAGAAATTCTAAGTATAAAACTGTTGTATTTTGATGCATTATGGAAGGACGGACGATTTCTAGTTCATAGAGTCAAGAACATTCACAATAAATGAAGTATGGAAAACAATTTTTTAAAAACTTACTTGTAATAAACTGATATTTTTCTGGACACTGACGTCACCTAGATTATCTGTTGGTTCGGTTGTCCTATTGAAAGCGGCTGAATTTGCAAATGTTAATTCTTTATAACGTTTCATAAAAGAGAACTGTGGATCAGTTGACTTCAAAAGATTTTTTGTTGTTAGCTGTTCAAATTCTGCATCATTTGGAATCAATGTTACCACAGCATGCCATACGCTAACAACACATAATATGGCTAGCGACATAAGAACATATTTATCCTAGAAGAAAGGAAGAAAACAAAGTAACTTGTAATTTACATGGTAAAGTACAATTATAAAATGAGTGATGTGACAGTTAGCTTCGTAATGTGCACGTTGAGGTGGTTTATACGTTTCCTTAACGTAAACACCATGAGCACAACAAGTGGTATAAGTTAAAAGAGTAGTGTTCCTTTACTTAGTGCCTACACGCTTAGAATAAACTTGTACTAACAGGAGTTTCACCATGAGCTGACATTAGTTAGGGAGTACTGAACATCTGTTTCGTCCTAGTTCGAGACTCTTCATCAAAACGCGCCCACCGAGATTCGAACCCAGGACCGCCTGCCAATTCACGACATAGCGGGAGTTCTAGTGAGGATTCGTGACCAGTAGAGTGCAGCAGGTCGGGTGTGAGGACAAATACTCGCCGAAGACAATGGCTAGAGGTCGCTCTATGTCGTGAATTGGCAGAATTTAGAATTCATGGGCCATTGGATCGGGTCACAGTGGCTTAATGGTCTACCAGCTCGCCTCGTAACCAGAAGGTCCTGGGTTCGAACCATGGCGGTGGATGCGTACTGATAAAGAGCCCCAAACTAGGATGAAACAACTGTCCAGTACTCCCTTCAGGTTTTCTAACGGTTCTCTAACTAATGTCACCTCATGATGAAAATGCTGTAACCAATCAAATCCTTACAAATCAACACTTGAATGAGTTGTGCTTAGTTGAAAACCGGTTGCACAATGTTATCGATTAAATAAAGTTAACAAAAATATTTTTTTTGTTCCTTTGCACTCCCAGGAGAACTTAGATCTTCAAGCAACAGCTAAGAAGTTTCGGCAGCAGTGGTGTTTATTTTTACGAGATGGGAAAGTTAGCCTCATGTACAACCTTCTCTCTTCACCAGTCGGCTGGGAATTGAACCACGGACTACATGCGTGGTTGGCGAGCATTCTACTGCTACACACGTTAACAATGATAAAAATAGCTCTATTCTGACCAGAATATTTATACACAGCACAGAGTTTTCAGTTTGGTTTCCATCAACTCCTTATACAGTATATTGAAATAAAATAGCAGTCTGCAATATAATACTAGACGGAATTGTGTCCTATCTGAAAAATCCTCCAGCTTCCCATGCCTTTCTCCCTTCAGGTGGTATTTTGAAAGCTATTCAAAAATGCAGGTGAGTGCAGATTATTCTTCAAGGAAGTAAATTACTGGTTGTAACAAATTGTAACTGAGTTAAATCGGACTTTTTGTGCTCTGTGGAAAATTAGCTATGTTATTCCTTGCAATGAATTCATTTAGTTAATTGTCACCTAATCATATATATTCAGTTATCGAAGATCATTCCCCCCCACTCCCCCAGAAATCAGTATTAATAGAAAGATCAATATTCGATGGAAAGACTACCTTGTTAAACCACCAAGAACGGGTGACTTGGAGCCCGGCAAGAACTGGTGCGGAATCATGCTGTTATTCATACCAAGTAAAACACCGAGTCATATCATCTTGGAGAGGATTAAATATGCACTGGATGCAGAAATCCGTCCCCCGGAATAAGCTGGATTCAAGAAAATCAAATCATTTAGGGAACAAATTACGACTCTACACGTCGTCATCGAACGGAGCGAAGAATAGCGGTCAAGTCTCTGTCTCAAAGTTATTGACTCTGAAAAGGCCCTGGACAGCGTTGGTCACGATGCTGTTTCAGAACTACTTCAACGCTAGGGAATTCAATGCCCTTAGTCCTTAACAATCTCATTCAAAAGCTATATGGCAATGGCACGTGCCGGGTGGTCCACAATGGAAAACTCAGAGAAGCCTTCGAAGGGAAGATAGGAATAAGGCAAGTATGTCTGCTATCACCAATGATATTCCTAATTGTGGTGGAATGGATTATGAGGAACACTGTCTTTGGAAGAGGAAAGACAGACAGTGCTATGGACAGATATGGAGAATCTAGGAGAACCAGACTTCTTGGATAATTTACGCTTAACGTCATATAAACTCGAAGATTCACAGGCGGAAACCAACAAGATTATATGACCGAGAGGGAATAATTAGCAATAAAAAATCTCTGAGAAAGAACCAATCAAGAAATTATTGCTCGATAAATATGACAAAGAAAACTGAGGTGGGTCGGGTTCACACCAAGGGGACCGCTGGACGACAATGCACGTTTGGCCGTCAAGTGGAACCTGCTTCCATCGGTGATACAGAGTAGATCGTATGAGGAGGAAATGAAAGCTTATGGTTATTCGTGAGGTCAGTCAGAGAAGACTACAGAGAGCACGACAGAACGGGGGTGTGTTGTTGAAGAACTATGTTCCACTCAGAACCCAAAGGAATAACAATATTGTAATGCAGGGTGGAATGCAGGGAAGCAACAAGTGAACTATACTACACTTTATGAGAAACGTCATATAAATGGTTTACGAAAGAAACATAAAAAGATGAAAATTGTAATGCCTGTCATCAAAAATTTGTTTTTCTTTCAGTGTCAACGGGTTTTTTCCACAGCGTTTTGGTAAAATAGATCAAAACAACATCAAAAAGTGATTAAAGTTACAAAGAACAATGACATATGGTATTTGTTGTGTTTGCTTGCCAAACCTCTACTCCTCCGCGTCTGTTTTCAAGATTACTTCTTCCGACAAAACAAGTAAATGGTTCAGCAACATTAGTTGAGGCGTAAACATATGTCCCGTGATCGCATCTACTATTTTATTCATTATCTGTTTATTATGCAGTGTGAAATGCATAAACATGACATGACATACTAATTCATGTTACATGACAACCATGTGCTGGCAGATTATTCAGCCTGCAACATATTGGAACCCCCCCGCAGCAAGCATATGGACAAAAGTCTATGCAGGTTTTGAAATTTTCCTATAATTACATTGTCATCAGAAACTACACACTTCATGATAAAGTACTATTTCCCGTCAACATATACGTGCATCTATCTTCAGTCCGATCAAAAAATTAGTTCAAAACATAAATATTTTTGATTTTACCGGGGTCTTCAGACAAAACAATACACAGATTATGTAAATGACACATTGAAGTCACAAAATTCTGAACTTTTAAACGGTGAAATAGAGATATTCGAGCAGTAAACTCTTACTTAAGCTGGATTTCGAATAAAATAGTGGAAAATGTAGGAACGCATGAGTCAGTAAAGCGATCTTGTTTTGTATAAAGCAAGAACAACAGTTTTTGCAGAATAAAATAATACCATCATTGCTTATTTCGTTGGCTTCTCATCAGCTGCTTAGAGCCAAAAGATACTGTTAAGTTTATCTATAGAAACAATTTTAACATGCTTGTACAGAGTTCATTTTTAAACAAAAATCAGTCAATCAATCAATTGAGGTAGATTGGATAATGCGACAGACAACAGGCAGCGAGGAAACAGGCATAAAATGGGCCCTCAGGAAAAACTTGGAGGGTCTGGACTTCGCCAACGACATATGTCTGATTTCCCACAAACTGGAAGATATGCAAGTGAAACGTAACAAGTTAGCAGAAGAAGCATTAAAGATAGGACTCCAAGTAAACATAGAGAAAACAGAGGTGATGAATATTCCTGGGCAACACCAACAGCAACAACAACAACATATAACAATCAGTATAAATTGGAGGAACCTGAAAGAAACAACCTCCGTTACCTACCTGGGAAGCATCATTTCAACTACAGGCGGAACTGACGAGGATATCAAAGCAAGGATCGGGAAATCAAGAAAAGCTTTCATTACTCTCAAGTCTCTGTGGAGATCAACAGCATTCAACACAAAAAATAAGATCCGGATTTTCAACTCCAATGTGAAGTCAGTGCTACTATATGGATCAGAGACTTGGCGTGTCATAAAGAACACCTCAAACAAACTGCAGACCTTCATCAACTCAAGATCAGATGGCCAGAAAAGATCTGCCACAAGGAGGATCTCTGGCAATGAGTGAACCAACCCAGCGGGAACCGATTGTGCAATAAATAAGCACGAAGAAATTTGGGTGGATTGGCCAAACTCTAAGGATGCCATCAAGTGACATCACTAGACAAGCACTTGAGTGGAACCCGAAGAGGAAGCGGCGAGTTGATCGTCAGTGCAAGGATGACTTGGAGGAGGTCATGTGAAGAGGAGATAAAAACGTGTGGGCAGACTTGGAGCCAGGTAAAAACTTTAGCAAGGAACCGAACGCTATGGAGACGTGCAGCTAAAGCCCTATGTTCCTCTAGGAATTAAAGGAAATAATAATACAGTAAAAGTATATATAATAATGATAAAAAAATTACAGAAAGCCTACATGGAAAGGACAATACCTAAATTTTAATAGTTTTTGTCCCAATATCCTTAAACGAGGACTAATCAAAATTCTATACTATAGAGCCAGAAGATTACACTCTACAGAGAAATTAGAGGAAGAATTTATGCTTCTCGAAAAGATGTTGAAAAAGCAACGGTCACCCTCAAAGGTTCGTCAACAAACACGGAAGATCTAAAGGCTCAAATGTTAAGCATATCACAGTGGAAAAAAGCCCATCTACACTCAACTTGATTTAAAAAAGTGAAAATATTGCAGAAATTGTCAACAGAAGATTGAGGACGTCACTAGGCGGAGAATATCATGCATGTAAGCTGGTTCCTGTTCATGGAACAAACTGCTCTTTGGTGCAATCAAAAATTTACATATATTCTTGTCATTTTAACTGCGAATGTATATACAAATTTACATGTATCTGCTGGAGCAGTGACCTTGGGAGAAGATAAAGAAGGGCATACCTACGATTTTCTGAACATGTAGCAAAAAGCCTACGTCTAAAGGGAATAAATACTTTAGACAATGCCATAGTCAGGCGTCTCCTTGACATGGGTCATGAGGTGGACGTCGCAAGATGGTTGAAATTTGTCATTAAGTTTCGCCAAGCAATCTCCATCAAGTGCATGAAACCCGATGTATGCATTCAAAAAGAAACAGTTACCAGTCTTTCCTTGTTCTGGTAATT